AAATTATTACTTTAACTTTCAAAAAAAAAAAAAAGAATTCTTATTTGAGTTACCAAAATAACAATGCTAAGATTACCTAGAATTTTTTTTTTTACTAAATGTGAATATTGATTTGATTTTGTCCCAAGTAATTTTGATGAATTGGTTCGATAGTTAAAAAAGTATATTTTATTTTTTGAATTAAAATTTTAGAGTCGGTATTTATGAAAATTTATTAAATTTTTCTAAACGTATCTTATATTGTGAAATTGTGAATATGCATTTTTTAAGTTTTCTCAAAACTTTTTAACGTGACAATCACATACTTTTTTTTGTATTTTAATTTTCCGTATCAAACAACGCTTGAGTATGTTTTTCAACAGCTTTTTCATATAATTACCAAATGGCGGAAAATATTTTTTTAAAAAATAATTTTCTAGAAAATAATTTCTTCAAGAATTGATTTTCTTATGGAAGTTATTTTCCGTCAAATAAACAGAGCCATAGTTTTTTATCCATTCTTCTTATTAGAATTTTCGACCAATTTTCACAAATTAATTTTAATATTAATAAAAATATATCTTTTTTTAAATAATAAAGATAATTTAATTAAATCATATATCATGTGAAAATCATATGCTTAATTTGTAATAAATAGATCTAAAATTTTAATTAAAAAATAAGTTCAAAATCAATTCAAAGTATAAAAACAGATTAAAAATATCACTTACGCGTTAAATTGCATCGTGGAATTTGTGTGTCAATTAGTACCCTTCCTTAGCTGGTTAACACTTATCATGCCAGACTTCGTAAATGCTTTTGATTAGGTGACGTGGGGGACCAGACTGCTTTCATTTCCGTAACTTTGATCACAAGTGCTTAAACTTAAAACCTAACTAGTGTTTAGGAATTTTATATTTTTATATTATTTTTCATCGATTCGATATGGAATAGTTGTTTTTCTTAATATTTTGAATGTTAAAAAAATTATCTTATATCAAATAAATACAAAAAATAATATGAAAATATACAATTAAAAATAAACCATCTATTACGAGGTATTAAGTTTTAAGTCTTTTAGATAAAATTTGATAGTAATTATTTAACTTAATAGAATCCCAATACTTCTTAATTCCTTTTAGAAGTGAATTTGCAGGTATGGCGTGGAGTTGTAAGATGGTGGGTATAGGGTGGCTGTGCTGGGTGGATTGACAAGATAAAACGGTTGACAATAGAGTGTGCAGGATGGAATTGTGGAGGCTGGCAGTAGGGCATGGGGGATTGTAGGGGGCTGGCATTAGGGAGATTGTATGTTGCAAGGTGCCATACGGTTTGTAGTAAGGAGATAGAGTTGTGCAGGACAAGTTGCTGCGGGGTTTTGTGGTCAGTTGCAATAGGAAAATTGTACAGAGATGGAGGGAAACTGTCACTCCATCTCTGTTTATATCTATATATATTAAATCCCTAATTTCAATGAAAGAAAGAATTTTTTTTCTAATTTTTCTTAGTTGTTGTTGTTATTATTATCATTATTATTATTATTTTGAAATAGAACAACATGAACTAAAATAGATAAATAAAAACACTAAAATAAAAGAAACCAAAATATCAAAGAAAAAAACTGAAATAAAAAAAAAAGAAATGAAAAATAAATAAAAATTTGGAAAATTTTGAGGTACGACAATTGTTATATAAATGATAACAAGTATCAGTTGGTTTCTTATAGAAATAACCAATCTGTTAACATTGTATAGATAACAAGTATCAAATTGATTTTTCTTTTTTTAATATTTTCTCTCCATAGATAGATTACTATTAGAGAATATTATAAATTATATTTAGGGCTTCAAACTTCAAATGATGAAGTTAAAAAATTGGAGCAAAAAACTACTTGAGGAGTAAGATCTAAGGTTTTATCGAGCTTGAATTTCACCTTTTAATTGATTTGATGTACTAAATCTGGGTGTTGGGGTGCCAATTAAATGTTTTTATTTGTGGTGATGGAGGGAATCAACACCAAGCTAGGTTTCGTCCCGAGTGTGATCACTTGATTTTGGAGTAAATTATAAATTAGTCTCTTTAATTTTGAAAAAAAATATTTCAAAAGTCTGTTTATTTAGTCAATTGACAAATGTTGATTATGTTTGATTTAATATTATTTCATTTCAATTTTCTTATTATTATATTTGGAAAGATTTTCTATTTTTATTTTCTCATATATATATATAGGTTATTTATTTGATCTATTTATTTTACTCAATTAAATCAAAGTTAGGTTTAATTGGTTATGCATATATAAGTTATTTATCTGATCTATACAAAGATCAATCACAAACAATTTATGTATTTAAACATAATAATACAATTATATCATGGTGTTTTATGAAGCAAAATATAACTGCTACATATTCAAATCATGGTAATACATTGAAATAAAATTAAACATTTCATACGTTATCCCTAAGAAAAAAATGAATATGATATTTATTTTACTCAATAAATCAAAGTCGAGTTTAATTGGTTATGCATATATAAGTTATTTATCTGATCTATACAAAGTTTGATCACAAACAATTTATGTATTTACACATGATAATACGACTATATCATGACATTCCGTGAAGCAAAATATAACTACTACATATTCAAACCATGCGTAAGTACAAATTCATGAGGCAAGTCGAGAATGTGTTAGATTAAGATTAGTGACCCATCATATTTGAGAGACATGCGATTTATCTATCGACGAAAGAACTTTCAATAATATCATATGAAAATAATGTCGCTTGTATAATTCAATTAAAGATAAAATACATTAAAGTGGTAATCCAACGGACTTATTCACTAAGTCATTACTTACCATAACTTTTAAAAAAATGGTTCATAAGACCGAGATACGTCGTTATAAAGATCTTAAATGATGTTTTCAATAGGAGGAACCCAACATAGAGATTAATGTATACAAGGAATATTATACTTTTTTTCCTTCATCATAATTTTTTTCGAGTGGCTTTTTTCTAGTAAGGTTTTAACAAAGTATATTTTTTTATGATGAACATTCAATGGGGAGTGTTATAAAATAATGAATGTCCATAACTATTTCATATTCTCACTACTCATGTGATTCAATTTATCATTTAATATGAGAAATTGAAATAGTTATGCAATTGATTCAATTATTTATGCACCTTTTTAATGGTTCATAGTCCTTTCTAATTCTTTTCTTAATCTTCAAGTCTATAAATAAATTTGATTGTTCAATAGTTTGAGTAGAAGTGTTTTGTAGAGATTGAGAGAATTGTTTGAATATGTTATCTCTTATATTCACTTTATTTCATAGTGAAATTCATTTTTCTATTATCTTTCTTTTCAATTCTATTATTATTATCATTATTTTTATCATTTATAACACAAGTCCTTAATTTTGATAAAACATTCAATGTTTTGGTGGGAACATAAAATCATTGACTTTTATGTTTAAATATGTTAGTTGAAGCACAAAAGTGAATACTTTGTGTTTCCACCAAGACACTCGAGACTGTACCCTTAATTTTTCATCATGAATTTGTAGTAAATTCTTAAATACTAGCTTTGTTATAAATATAATCTCCATGCCTTTACCACTCTATGGATGATTTATGGGAAAAGAATTTCTTATTAATAGTCCAAATGTTTTATATTTTCAAAAAAAAAAAAAAGAAATCTTTTTTTTTAATGAAAATCGATATTGTTGGAAGACAATAGTAGCACAAGGGAGATCACTAGTACCCTTCAAAACAGATGGTACAATTAGCCAAGATACTATTTTTATATCTAATTCTAAACTTTTTCAGTAAGTATTGTGTCTCATGTGATTCAATTCTCATGTAACTTTATATTGATCATGTATGATATTAATAATGTCGAGTACACACCCTATTATCAAAAAAGAAATGGTCAAGTCGAGGGCATTAAGAACATATTATTAGAAAATAATATAAATCATATTCGAAATCTTATTTAATAGCTTGAGTTCTTGAATGAAATGATTTTTTAATATGGTATCGTAACTTAATGATTAAACGATCATAAATTCAAATCTCATCATCACTACTTTCTTCTCTAATTAATTAAACATAAGATATTATAAATTTATATACGTTTCAAATCAAAAAAGTTTTCTCTTTTTAACACGTTGCTTTACATTTAAAAAGAGAGGAAAGAGCCCCGTTTATTGTCTGCCGCGAATGGGGAAAGCTTCAGTGCCACCTTTCACATGCCTCCCCAACTTATTGGTTTTATTTTATTTTTTTAATTTTTTTTCCGGTAAAAATATTATGGGAGCTGCAAGCTCGTACACCGGAGCATGGTGGGGTTCCACCTACTGAACCCCACGTGAAACACTTTAATGTATTTATTTTGGGTTTCGAAATCAACAAAATTAAAGCAGTACTCCACTGCTACTCTTGCCATGTATCATGACTTATCATATGGATTTTTTTTTACCTATAATGTTAAAAAAATTATCCTATATCAAATAAATACAAAAAAATAATATGAAAATATAAAATTGATAATAGACCATAATTTAATAAATTATTTAAAATTTAATTGTAAATTAATTATTTAACTTAATAGAATCCTAATACTTCTTAATTCCTCAGACATTAGAATGATAAAAAGGCACTCTAGCTTCAATAAGCCATAATTTTTTAATTCAACTCTTCAATTAAAAACAAATAATACTGTTGAGCTCTACAAATTGGAACTTGCTTGTATTTAATCAAATGGTTTAACCACCTCACGGTTTTGGATTTTTTTCTTTATTTTTACAGGTATGTATTTAATTGGATGTGTCTTAGGTACAACTCAATAATGTTGAGCTAGCACGAGTATAACATGTTTCTTGAAATGGATCAATCAAACGCGCATGTTCGACTAAATTCCAAATCCTTGCTCAATAAATTTCAGCTCTCAACGCATTCTTTCTCAACACATCAGACAAGGCACAGTATTGGGATAACTGATCTTACTATTCAACCATGAAGATAACTAAATTTCTCGTGCTCTCCTTCTTTCTCCTTGCCTTCACAACTTCTTCTTCTCCTGAGGACATTCAGGCTCAAGATCCTGAAGCAGTGATCGATATCTTCGGTAACGAGCTTGTGGCTGGTGGTAGTTATTTCATCAGAGCCTTTCCAGCTGGCAGTAAAACTCCTCTCGCGGTCTCTAGCGTGGGTGCATGCCCACCAGATGTTAGACTTTCCTCAATCTAGCAATAAGGTCCCAATAAGAATTACACCAGTACAAAACGACGACAGTGTCATCCACGAAGAAACATATGTGAACTTCAACTTTGTTAAAGGCATACATATGTCCGAGGTCCGACGTGACAAGCGATGTGGAAGGTTTCCTACAACCCAGGTATGGATCGATACATTGTGACCACCGGAGGTATGGGTCCTTTGAAGCAGTTTAAGATCACCAAGGATAGAGCTAATGATGGATTGTATCAGCTTTCTTACTATCCGACGAGTGAGGCCTTCAATAAACGCCTAAGGGTCGATGTTGGCTATTTGGCCAATAATGACGAAGTAACCTACTTGACTCCTAATGCCAACCCAGTTCGTTTTGCGTTTGTGCCATATTTGGTTGAAGTTCCTAAAATCGAGTATAAGAAGGTGTCGGCATGATATTGATCAGTATTATTATCTACTGTAATCCTGTACAGAGGAGCTCCGTTGCCTACTATCATGCATGTATTGGGCATAAATAAACACCAAGCCTTAGCTTTTGGTTTTGCTTAATTTTCATGTTCTCTCCTCTTTGTTGCTTTATCATTTCACAAGAAAATCATCTTGTTGCTACAATCTTCTAAACATTTGGAACCCCAAATATTACAGCAGAAATAATTAAATAAAAAATAATGAGATATGTGTACCATGTCATAATCAAACATTAAAATTCTACACACTAGTACAACAATGAGAAAGAAAAAATAAACTTTTCAATAAAAAAACTTTTGAATGAAAAATTTATATAATAACGGGAGTTAACATCCAACTTTTGCAATAGCCTTGCCGTACATTCGGTAAGAATAGGACTGATATCATCCAATAGAACCTCCACATCAGCAGCCCCATCACAGTCCATCTCAACCTCCTCAGCGCCATCTTCTTCTGCATCATCCTTCTCTCTAGAATTTGAACTTAAAGACAAATCTTTATCTTGTTGAACTGTGAAATTTCGTATAGAAAATTAGATCTTATGTGTTGGAGATTCTTTGATCGTTGTACTATATTCCACACCATCCACTACCAAAACAACTTGTTCTTCCACAGAGTCTCTCATTCTAGTTCCGATGAGAATCCGAACAATAGATAAATTGGAGAAGCAATGGCTTAATTTAACATAGCCAATCATCCTTCCCAAAGGGGTTAAAAGACTGCGAAAACAATCCACTGACCATGCTGATAGTGTTAAGCCATGAATTTTTAACCAACATTATCTATCCAGAGCACCATCCCTAACAATGCAAGGTCGAGCTTCATCAAAGAATAGATTCAATATAAAATTAGAATTACCAAAGGCCTGGTGCATTTTTGTCACAGAGTCAAAGGTAATCACGGTATGTGAAGCATCTAGAAACCAGAAACCCACACAAGCAATATCACTACTCTCCAAGACATTTGAGAGTTCTATAATCCACACCTTCAGAAATAGCACAAACTAAGCTTCTCTTAAGCCATTCAACATCATCTTCTTTTAAGTCTTCAAATCCATTTAAATAAGAAAGCCTTGTTCTTGGCTACACGAGAACCAATGCCAATTTCTCATTTCTTCTAACAGCGAGCTAGGAAATTCCAAGCTACCTTATACATGTATTTCTTATAGCCACAACCATTCTAGAGAAAACTTAGCTGAATTGCAACGATCTTCTTTGCTACCCCTACTGGTATTTTAAAAAGTAAAAGATAATAGACAGGAATAGAGGACAAAACTAACTTGAGAAGACAAATTCGTCCACCTAGAGAAAGCAACCTTCCCTTCCAAAGCTTCAAATGGTGCCTAATCTTATCAATCACTAAGGATTAGGTTGACTTACGTTTAGGACTACCACCTATAGGCAAGCTAAGATACTTTATAGGAAGTTGATTTGCTTTATATCTCAAAATATTTGCTAAAGCTGAACAATAGCCTTCATCAATATTAATACATCTAGTTCTAAACTTTATTTTATTGTCAAAATTAGAATTTGTGTGGATTTAAATTTTTTTAAAATTAGAAATTATAAAGTAGAACTTTTGTGTCGAGTAGTTGTTAAACAAATATTTATAACGTTATAGATTTGAGTTTATGAGTCTTTAATTTGAAGAGTGTGTACTTATATTTTTTGGTGAAAAATAACAAAGAAATATATATTTTGGTATTTGTGGATGATATTGGCTAGAAACTGATATGATTGTCAGACTTCGACCACTTTGGGAAAAAACGAAAGAAAATAATGCATTCTGTAATACTTAGATTTAATCTTTATACTTTATGTGAATATTTATTTTGTTAATCATGCTCATGTTATGCTTGTGTTGTTCGTGTTGTTAATGATAAATGTTTGGTTTATAAAATTAAAATTTGTTAAGTGTTATTTATAAATAATACATTTATCCACAGGTGAAAAACTTAATAAATATAGTTTAATTAAATAATTTTCATATATATATAAGTTAGGATTAAAATTAAATTAGTAATCTAAATATATATTAATCTAGGAGATAATACCTCAGTTAAATGTTTTACCTAAATTAAAATATTTAAACGTAAAATATCACCTTATGATATATATATATATATATATATATATATATATATATATATATATATATATATATATATAGCTCATTAAAGGCCTTTCGCACAAAAGTTTCAGACAAAAAAAAGAAATAAAAAAATATATATATATCTATATTCTTTTGACCAAATCTTTCCTCACTGCATAGGTCTCTGGTCGTAAGATTGCGTAATGGACTTGGACGTCTTATTATCTGACTTGTAATTTAGTTATTGTTTGGTTGCGATGATATCCTTGGGTAGAGTGATGTACCCCACAACATTTATTGTCTGACACGAATGGGAGAGTTTTAGTACCACCATTCACATGTCCTCAACTTATTGGTTTTATTTTAATTTTTTATTTTTTCCAGTAAAAACATTATCATTTTTGGCTAAATGTAAACGTCTGGACAAGCTGTGAGCTCGTACAGAGGGACCTGGTGGGGCTCCACCTAAGCGGGACTAAGAGCCATTATTGAGACGCTTTAATTTATTTATTTCGATATCGACAAAACTAAAGCAGTACTCTGCTGCTACGTTCGAAATCGACAAAAATTAAATAAAAATTGGTGTAAGGGAATCTCCAACACATAACCAGATTTTGCAAACATCTAATTTTCTATACCAAATTTCGCAGTTCAACAAGATAAAGATTTGTCTTTAAATTCAATTTCTACAAAGAAGGATGATGGGGAAGAAGATGGCGCTGTGGAGGTTGAGGTGGACTGTGATGGGGCTGCTGATGTGGAGGTTCTATTGGATGATCTCAGTCCTACTCTTACCGATCGAATGTACAGCAAGATTATTGCAAAAGTTAGATGTTAACTCCCATTATTATGTAAATTTTTCATTCAAAAGGTTTTTTATTGAAAAAATTATTTTTTCTTTTTCATTGCTTTGCATTATTGTTGTACTAGCGTGTACAATTTTTATGTTTGATTATGACATGGTACACATATCCCATTATTTTTTATTTAATTATTTCTGCTGTAATATTTGGGGTTCCAAATGTTTAGAAGATTGTAGCAACAAGATGATTTTCTTATGAAAAGATAAAGCAACAAAGAGGAGAGAACATGAAAATTAAGCAAAACCAAAAGCTAAGGCTTGGTATTTATTTATGCCCAATACATGCATGATAGTAGGCAACGGAGCTCCTCTGTACAGGATTACAGTAGATAATAATACTGATCAATATCATTCCGACACCTTCTTATACTCGATTTTAGGAACTTCAACCAGATATGGCACAAACGCAAAAAGAACTGGGTTGGCATTGGGAGTCAAGTAGGTTACGTCGTCATTATCGGCCAAATAGCCAAGTTCGAACCTTAGGCGTTTATTGAAGGCCTCACTCGTCGGATAGTAAGAAAGCTGATACAATCCATCATTAGCTCTATCCTTGGTGATCTTAAACTGCTTCAAAGGACCCATACCTCCGGTGGTCACAATGTATCGATCCATACCTGGTTTGTAGGAAACCTTCCACATTGTTGTCACGTCGCCCCTCCTACATGTGGGTACTTCTAAGTTAAAGTTCACGTATGTGTCTTCGTAGATGACACTGTCGTTTTGTATTGGTGTAATTCTTACTGAGACCTTATTGAAGATTGTTGAAAGTCTAACATCTGGTGGGCACGTACCCTCGCTAGAGACCGCAAGAGTAGTTGCACTGCCAGCTGGGAAGGCTCTGATGAAATAACTACGACCAGCTTCAAGCTCGTTACCGAAGATATCGACCACTGGTTCAGGATCTTTAGCCTGAATGGCCTCAGGAAAAGAAGAAGCTGTGAAGGCAAAGAGAAAGAAGGAGAGCACTAGAAATTTAGTTATCTTCATGGTTGAATATTAAGATCAGTTATCCCAATACTGTGCCTTGTCTGATGTGTTGAGAAAGAATGCGTTGAGAGCTGAAATTTATTGAGCAAGGATTTGGAATTTAGTCGAACATGCGCGTTTGATTGATCCATTTCAAGAAACATGTTATACTCGTGCTAGCTCAAAATTATTGAGTTGTACGACACATCCAATTAAATCTGTAAAAAAGAAAGGAAAAAAAAATCCATGAAGGTGAGAGGGAGTGTTTTGTCGGTAACGAGTCAGATTTGATCGCAAAGAAAAGACCTTCCCACGATAATTTTCTTGCTTCCCTTACCCCACTTTGAGACGAAAGAAAATGCATAGCACGAGCATTTATTTCTCCAACATGGACCATGTGTTTCACCGATCTTTACCCAAAAAAGTTTCGGCTACCATGATGAATTATCAGAAAAACATAACACAAAAAAAAATACTTTGTAAGCTTTTATTTCACCTCAAACGGGATGGGGGTGGGATGAGGCTCCGTCAGATTATTTTTTTTAGATAAGCCCTCTTTGGCAGCGAAAGAAGACGAGAGATTTTTGTGAGGCAAAAGATATACACGTCACTGCTTACGCTCCACTGGGAGCGAAAGGAATGCTTTGGGGTACAAACAAAGTGATGGACTGTGAAGCGTTTGAAAGAGATAGCAGAGAGAGTGTTAAAAAAAACCAACAAAAAGAAATTCAAAATTTATCAGCATTAAACGTTAAATCTTAAGAGTCTTTTAAATCGAATAAGAAATTTTACTGCACATTGTCATAAAAATTAAGGTAGAAGACCCAGTGTATTAATTGTCTGATACCATTATAGGTTTGACGTTGCTGTACACTCATTTTCTACCAAAATAACAAATTTTTCCATAAAAATATTATGGGAGATGAACCAAGGGGCATCATTGAAACACTTTAATCATTTTCCACAAAACAAAAGCAGTACTCTCCTGCTACTTTCGAAATCGACAAAATTAAAGCAGTCTTCTACTGCTACTCTTGCCATGGATCATGACTTATCAAATAGAAGCAGGATAATTTTTTTCTTTTATATTATAGAATAATATAAAATCAAATTTAGGTTTTCAGAATATGATTGTTTTTAATATAATATCGAACTCTTAATAACAGTACGGTAATCCATTTTTTTAAAAAAATGATTTAAAATTATTTTTAAAATCACGTTTTTTTCGTGAAGTTTTTGCTAGGAATCTCTCATGAGAAAGGAAAGGAACTGTGATTTTGGAACAGTGTGCATCGAAGACGGTTTGATTAAGTAAATGCTGTAGATTTGGTGATTCGAGGGACCAGACAGTGCTTTCCTTTCTGTAACTTTGATCACAAGTGCTTAAACTTAAAACGTAAATAGTGTTTAGGAATTTTATATTATTTTCGTATCTATTCCATATGGAATAGTTTTTTTTTTTTCCTTAATATTGTTTAATGTTAAAAAAATTATCTTATATCAAGCAAATACAAAAAATAATATAAAAATATAAAATTGAAAATAAACCATCTGTTACGAGGTTTTAAGTTTTTTAGATAAAATTTAATTGTAATTATTTAACTTAATAAAATCCTAATTTTTCTTAATTCCTTAGAAATTAGAATGATAAAAAGGCACTCTAGCTTCAATAAGCCATAATTTTTTAATTCAATTGTTCAATTAAAACAAATGATACTGTTTTGAAAAACTAATTCAGACCTCTACAAATTGGAACTTGCTTGCATTTAATCGGATGGTTTAACCATGGTCCAATTTATGAAAATATTGTGTATTTCGGAATAAACCTAATCCACATCTTTCCAGTTTTGTTGCCATTTATTAGATGTGACTTTCAAATTTTCTGATAACAAGGAATGGTGTGGGTTGTTTCGATTAGGAGATGGGATAAAGATCGGTGAAATACATGGTTCATATTGGAGAAAAAAGAGAGTGAGAGAGATAATGAAAAAAACAAAAATTGAGAGATTGTCATTTCCTCTGACTTGTTTAAAGAAAACGAAAAAAATAAAATAAAATAATTAATGATAAAATTACATGTGAATTTTTTTACACTATTATACATGTAATTAATTATTCATTAGAAATCAATGTTTAAAACCGAATAGTGTTTTCATTACAAGCTAATTTTCTCCATGTTCTTACGTAATTGAAAAATTCAATAACTCACAAAGTATTTTTTTTGTGTTATGTTTTTCTGATAATTCATCATGGTAGCTGAAACTTTCTTGGGTAAAGATCGGTGAAATACATGGTTCGTATTGGAGAAATAAATGCTGGTGATAAGCATTTTCTTTCGTATGAAAGTGGGGTAAGGGAAGCAAGAAAATTATCGTGGGAAGGTCTTTTCTTTTCTATCAAATTAGATGAATACCCATGCTATACTACAGTCGGATACTCACTACATGTGCATAGTTTGCGATTTATATGATGCAGTATAAAAAAAGTTGTTTTTATGATTAAATGAATTTATAATTTTTTTTCTAGTGTTTCTTTTATTTTTAATTTTTATTATAAATATTATTCAATATTTTTTTTATTTCTAGTGTTAGTTTGCCGTCTTTTCTAATAAGCAAACGAATCATCCGAAATATTATAAAAATTACTTGCATGGAATTACAATGGATTTTGCATTAAATCTTAATGGATTTCTAGTGTTAGTTATCCCAATATTGTGCTTTTGCTTGATCCATTTCATGAAACATGTTAAACTCGTGCTAGCTCAACATTATTGAGTCGTACGTAAGACAGATCCAATTAAATACGTACCTGTAAAAACAAAGAAAAAAAAATCCAAAACCGTGAGGTGGTTAAACCATTTGATTAAATTCAAGCAAGTTCATATTTGTATAAAATAATCAACAAAATTAGCATAAAAAAACTATATTTGAATATATACACACACAAAATAATCAACAAAATTAACATAAAAAAAATATATTTGAATAATTGGTTGGTTCCTTTAAAAAATTATTTTAATTATTTTATTACAAATGAATTTGTTCTGTAATGTTAAAAAAATATTCATAGAAAATAATTTATATTATGTTAGAAGATGTATAATTAATTTTTAATAAAATCAACGATTCAATAATTTTTTTATATGTCTTGACCATACCTAGTAAACTCGAAATAAATTATTTGAAATACACTTATAACTTTTTAGAATAAAATAATTATATATTTATATATGCACAACTATCATTTAACAATTCTAAGAATTCATGATATATATATCATACTAATTTATTTTTTAAAAAAAAAAGAGAAAACAACCATGCTTTAAAATTTTATTCTAAAATTCAAACATAAAGAAAAATAAATTATATTTATATACATTAGATCTATATATATTTATTTACAAAATAATCAAAAAAATTAGCATAAAAAAATATATTTGAATAATTAGTTGGTTCCTTAAAAAATTATTTTAATTATTTTATTACAAATAAATTTGTTCTATAACGTTAAAAAAATATTCATAGAAAATAGTTTGTATTATGTTGGAAGATGTATAGTTAATTTTTAATAAAATCAACAATTCAATTGTTTTTTTTTTATATGTCTTAATCATACCTAGTGAACTGAAATAAATTATTTGAAATACACTTTTAACCTTTTAGAATGAAATAATTATATATTTATATATGCGCAACTATTATTTAAAAATTCTAAGAATTTATGATATATATATATATATTATACTAATTTATTTTTTAAAAAAAGAGAAAACAATCATGTTTTAAAATTTTATTCTAAAATTCAAACATAGAGAAAAATAAATTATTTTTATCAGTAAATAAAATCTTACATAAAAAAAAATGTTAATTGGATGAGAATTTTCACAAAAAATGATAAATTCAAAGAATGAAATTTAAATTATAAGAGTAATATAAGCTGACGTATATGTTATATATATACTATGTGAAAATGAAAGGAAAATAAAAACTAAGGATTGAAAAAAAATG